CTCCTTGCACCTAAGATCATATAAGTAGAACTCTCCTGAACAGACAAAACATATCAGGTAAGAATTTTGCTTGTAAAAGTGTATTCAGGCTAAAGAAGCAAATGCAAGCTAAATATTTAAAGCCATCGAGACCTGATCTGCAGAAGTCAGTGGGAAACCACTGATATCCTCATTGGAAACCATCTGTGCTACTGCTCTTTGCTGTGCCCTGTGCTACTTTTTCATGAGCCTCCTCAAAGTTCAAGAGGAACCTTAAAGTATTTACTGATAAAACAATGCAGTATGTTGTTAGCTGAAAAATACTCACCCCCTGCTTCTTTCCACTGTTTCTTTATGAATTTAAGTAACCTCTAGATAATTAGGTCTGTAATAATTTGTGCCCTATCTTGTTTCTACCCATCCCATTAGAGAGGAAGCAACATGGTATGATGGCAGCAGTCATCTTCTTCAGGGTGTAAAGCCCTTCCTGTCCTAATCTGTTAAAGATACTGATAAAGACTAAGCAAGTTTGAGACTGACAAGAACCTTCTGTTTTCAATATTAGCTTTTGTTTTCTCGAGAGCAAGGATATCAGAAGGAAGTCCCAGAGGTGGGCAAGGAGCAGCTCTGCTGCATGACTGCCACTTAACTTCATGTATCCCTGCCATCATCCATGGACACTGTATTGCACAGCCGGGTGCTGAATGATAGGCACTTGATAAAGGTGAAGTCTTGACCTCAGGCTCTCTTGTAGCCCGTGTAGGCTAAGTTCAGATTGTCAGGGGAAGAGTTTGAGCAAGAATCTGAAGACTTGATCTTGTCAGATTGTAGCCATTGCTACAGTTGTGGTACTTGAAACCTGACTTCTTTTTTTCCTCAAGTATGTGTAAAGGAGCGAATCAATCTGTGGTCAAAGACATTTTTGAGCAGAGGCAATAAAAATAAATTCTGTATAAATGAAAATATTTTAGTGAACTCTTGAGTGGCACTCAAAGAACCTTTATAAGAAGTACTGATGTCTGATTAGGGAATGAATACAAGAGTAAGCAGAAGATTTTGATGCAACTGATGCTTTATTCATATCTTAATTCTTATTTGGATGTATATCCAGGTAAGGCTTACATCCTGATACTGTTGCAGTGAGCTCTGCAGTGAAAGCCAGGCTCTTCCATCAAATGATGCATACCAATTCTGTCACTACAGATTTTTTTTTTCAAAGAAGTTAGTTTTTTCCTTGTGCTTTTTCCTTTGAACTCATGCATTTATCCATAATCTTTGTGAACTTTGTGCCATACCTGGGGGAGCTGCAGTTTAATAGTATCCTGTGCTATAATCTTCATTTCTTCCTGTAGGCAGCTTATCAAATGTGCAGAATTGTACCAAAGCTCTGATCATCTGGCTAAGGGGATTAATGTCACCTAATGCAGTGTGTTGGTACCAGACAGATTACAAGGAGCAAAAGAGGTTTGGAGGCTGAGTCAGTGACTTGGAGGAGGAGAGGTGTAAAACCCCTCAGGAAATCAGTAATCATCTCAATTTGCAGCTTTTGTAGCTAATGTACTGTGTGCAACAAAATATGTTCTCTGGAGTTGTGGGCTGTACTTGCTGTTCAAGTGTCAGAGAGGATACTTGTTATAGAGCATGTTATCTTGTCTTAGATTTCATCTTCTTAAACCAAGTCCATAAATACTTGTGGTGTTTAAAATGCATGTGTAGCATCTCTGGTAGTTTGTTGAACCTTAGTAAGCATATGGGGATGTTAAACATTAACAGGGTGCTACATAACTGTGGATATAATTAACTTCATTTGGTCAAGACAGTAAAAGCATACTCTATGTACATTATGTAGCTGATAAATGCTCTTTTATGGAGACATTCCTTTGACTTGCCAAATAATGGGTCACTAATCTGAAGCCACATCTACACTGTAGGCACAGAAGTGAACACAGGCTGCATTAGCTTGCTCGACATGTCCCAGCTTAACTGCACTAGAACAAGCTTGAGCATCTCTGCCACATTCTGGTCATGTATGAAGTGTCTGTAGACAAGCTGCTAGTTTAAACTACAGAGTCAGAGATGCTGTTCACATTTTGTCTTTTTAGCTTCCCCTGCTCTTTTAAGCATATTTGAAAACAGGGTGCTTCTTCAATATTTCTATTGCTATGTAACTGAAAAGTAATTGAACATAAGTTGAAAATCCAAGACAAGTGTATGTTTGGGAAGGCTGTTAGCAGATATGTGCCTTACTTTGCTGTAAAGAAATAATTGCAGGAGAGGACTGCCAAAAGTATATGGTCCTGTGTACTGGAGGTGCCCCTGGGGCTGGTAATGAGGGTCTGTGCACTTGTCAATCCAAACCCTCCACAGCTGGCCCCAAGTTCCTCTGGAGTTTCCATTTTATGGCTTGATGTCCCTTTGACTCCTTGCTCCCTGCTTTAGTATTTTATTATGTGAGTACTGGGGCAGACGGAGGACTGTGTGTGCATGTATGAGAGAAAAGTTAAAAATTGGTGTAGATGATACTTAGATCTGATTTATAATTAAAAACCAAGAGCTTTTGTGCTCCATAGGCAGTTGGTGTGTTGGGGTTTTGTGTTGGTAATTTAACTGGGTCTCTGCAGTGCCAAGTGGTGTTTTCACTGCCAGGTAGTGGAGTGCTTAATAGATCTATCCAATGGTATTAAGTAAATTTTATGGTTTTGTCAACTTTTTCCTGTGTTTGGCTTTTAGGAACAGGACAGCTGCTAGACTTCTCAGGTGGTTTAGTTTGCATATGAAGTTTGAGCTTAGCAAGTTTCTTTTATCGCAAATTATTCATCAAGTTATTTTAAGAGTGATTTACTAACAAAACACCTATTTAGGTATTTACTAAACAAAACCAAGACCATAAAGCATAATGGTGAACTCTGCCTTTTTTTTTTTTTTTTTTGATCAACAGTGATCCAGATGGATGTATTAAATGGCTATTTAAGTTGCTCTCACAGGATGTAAACTCTGAAAAAAAAGCCAAGTAAAAATCCTCGGTCTCTCCTATTCCCTAAGCACCCTATTCTCCTCCTATTTAAATAGTAAAGCTTTTAGCTATCAGTTACTTTTTTTTGAGTGATACGTGGCTGACTTGAGATGTGGAAAAGTTTTGTCTGAAGCTTTATTTAAGGAAATACAAAATAATTTGGAACTTTAACTAAAACTGATGGTGAAAGGAATTAGGGTTGTTTGTACAGATGGGGTTAGAATGGAAATATTTAATCTACATGTAGGTATTTCCAAAATACCTCATATGATTTGGTAACCTGATCTACCTTTTCCATGACAAAAGGGCACTTTGGGTGTCTTATCCAATTTAGAAACCTAGTCCTGAGTATTTTTCCAGTCTTGCCTGATTTAGACTAGATCAACTCTGAATTCCATGAATTTTTATTTACTTGGAACTGATATAAAATGAGAGAAGAATCAAGTTAAAGCAACTGCCAATAAATCTGATAAGGATATTCAGATATAATGGAGGCTGTCTTCCGTTTTGGAGTTGGAATTGAGTAACATCTTTGCTGAGGTCAGAGTTGCTTACATAAGACATATGCGACATCAGGAAGTGCCCTTGTGCTTTCTGATCTGACCTGCATAGTCTGAGATTGGAAAGATGGCGTGGAAAATGGGGAGGTCAGTTGGAGGAGGGAAGGGAATCATTAAGGTTGGGAAAGTCCTTCAGGATAAATCTAACTGACAAGTCCACCACTAAACTTCACTGCTGCGTCTACACGACTTTTAAATACCTCTGGGGATTGTGACACTTCCCTGGGCAGCCTGTTTCAATACTGGTCAACCCTTTGCCTTAATTTTTTCTTCGTATCCATTCTAAACCTCCCTTGGCACAACTTGAAGCCATTTCCTCTTGTTCTTGCCATCTTTTACCTGGGGCAAGACATCCCGCCTTTCAGTACCATCTCCTTTGTGTGATTGTAGAGGGTCATTAGCTATGTACCACTGCCTTTTTCTCTAGGCTGAACAATCAGAGCTCCTCCAGCTGCTCCTTATAAGAGTTGTGCTCCAGACCCTTCCCCAGCTCCATTGCCCTTCCCTGGACATGCCCCAGCACCTCACTTGTGTTTTCCTGAATTGAGGGTCTCAAAACTGAACTTGAGGTGTCGCCTCATCAGTACCAAGTACAGGAGGATGGTCACTGCCCTGCTCCTGCTGGCCACACCTGGCTGATCCAGGCCAGGATGCCATCGGCCTTCTGGGCCACCTGGGCACACTCTGGATCATGTTCAGCTGCTGTTGACCCGCACCCCCATGTCCTTTTCTGCCAGGCAGTTTCTCTGCCAGTAGTGCTGCCTGGAGTTGTTGTGACCTTAGTGCAGGATCCAGTGCTTGACCTTGCTGAACCTCATACAACTACCCTTGGTCCATCAATCCAGCCTGTTCAGAACCCTCTGCAGGGCCTTCCTGCCCTCCAGCTGTTCAATATTCTCACCCAACTTGGTGTTATCTGCAAACTGACTTAGGGTGTTCTCAATCCCCCTCATTGAGCTCATTGATAAAGATGTTAAACAGAAATAAAGTAAGCCTGCAGTATCTTTTGTAGACCATTCAAAGTGTCTCTGAATATATTTGTGGTCTTTCTCCTGGGTGGTGATGGCAGGAGGCAGGGAAGCCTGCACTGTTAGTCTATAAACTGTCATAGTTGAAGCGGAAACTCGCATTGATATTCCCAATATAACATCACCAGTGTTATGCCAGTTAGGAGGGACTGGGTAAGGAAGGTATAGCTTTGATAGCTTTCATATAGATTTGGTCTCTTTTGCATCAACTGTCAGCAATTAGGTAAATGTGAAACTATTTTTAAAGCTACTTTTTTCTTCTGAAATAGTTTGGCACGGGTTCTGAAGCTTAGTTGTTGAATAAAGGAACTTTCCAGCAACTGCCTTTGATTACTTCTAAATGTAGGTTACAGCTGTCCTTTTGGGAAAGGCACATAGCTCAGCATGTGAGAAACTGACACCTTTTTCTCTCCTTTTCAGAGTATCTCCTCTACAGAAGTCCGAAATAGTAGACATGGTCAAGAAACACGTCAATGCCATAACACTTGCCATTGGGGATGGTGCCAATGACGTAGGAATGATCCAGACAGCTCACGTTGGAGTGGGGATCAGTGGCAATGAGGGCATGCAGGCAACCAATTGCTCGGATTATGCCATTGCACAGGTCAGATGCAAGAATGAACAACTGCCATATCATCTTTGGGAAATGCACTGTGCAGCCATGTAGTGCTCGATCAGCTTCTTCTAAGCTAGAAGCATCTCTGATTGTTTCTTTTTCCAGGCAGCTGTCTAGCTGTCTGTATATTTTGGCAATATTTTGGGTATTTGTTATGATTTTGTATTCTTCAGGGCAAAGCCCCACCTCTCTTCAAAGTTTCAGTTTCCTCCTGACAACTGTGCAATATCTTGGTTCTTCAGTAATTAGGGGGAAACAATTTCTGTGATGCTTGTGTTAATATGCTTTTAACTAACTGACCTCTCTTGGTGTAAACTCTTCTCTTACTATGGGTAGGCTCTATAATCAGGTATGTGAGAATCTGGCTGTTTGGCAGCTCTTAATTTGAGGTGTCTCCTCGATCTTTATTTCCTCTTGCCCCCTGTGTTGCATCAAAGAACTGATCACAGTTCTAGAGAGCTGGTCAGCATTTTCATTTTACACGTGTTATTTTGAACATTATTTGGGGTGAGTGCTCCTAAACTAGTTCATCAAATTCAGAACTGATTACTGCAGCTAAAAAGAGGAGTTAAAAGCCATTTTTGTTTGTTCTGCTGAAGAAACCACAATTTAGAATCAGGATTTTGAAAGGAAAATAAGAAAGGAGGAAGATGCTTTAGTTGCTGAATATCCTATGAATACTGTTTACACCTGAGGTGCTCTATGTGTTTGAGACTATGCAGGGAAAAACCAGATCGAACTGACAGGAAGAGGAGACAATCCCTTGTGTCCTCAGTGACCAGAGCTTCAGCTAATGTTCTCTTCTGGCAGGGTATGGTCAGATTTGTTCTACCAAGTGACGTGAAATACTACCATCTTTTGATAGCTCCCAGTAGGAGGTGAGGTTTTGAAAAGGCAGGGATAATGCTGCTGTATGCACAGATAACTGTTTATTGTGGTAACCCTGCTGAGAAGCAAAGTGTCAGTCTTGTATTGCTGCTCTGTTGTGACCTCTGATGAAGACCACTGAAGAAGCTGAAGTTTCAGGTTTGAATAACTGAGACCTTTCACAAAATCTGTCTTGAGAATTTTAGGCAGTTTAACCAAGTTTTTCTGTCATGAGCAGTAGCATATTCCAAATATATAACAGTATAGGAACTGCCATAGTCATTGTCTCTGGTATCTCGTAACGAGTTTTACATTTTTAATTTCAGTGGATTATATGTAGCTTCTGCTGTGCAACTTAATGGAATACTCTCTACTTGGACTTCCTCAGATCAATTATTACTTCTGCTTTGGTAACTAAGCATAAGCAGCAAGAATTTTGTCTCTAGAATTGTCCCTACATACGTTATTTCTTTTTTGTCGCAGTAGTGCTAAATCTGGAGAAGTAATTCCACGTTCATGTGTTGCCTTTGCACTAAAAAAACCCCTGTATTTCAGTTTAGTGTTAGAACATGGAAGCTGCTCTTCATTTAAATTCCAGTCAGCAAGTTACTGACAATAACGATGAATCTTTTTCATTTAATATGAAATAAAAGCTGGTGACACCAGCACAGAATTGCAGCATTCAAAAATTAGTGAAACACTGTGGAACTGGGTTTTTTTTGTGATTGTGTAGAAGAATTTGTACTGATTAAATCAGAAAACATATAAAAAAATCCCTGTTGTAGAGGAGACTAATACTGTGTGGTAGTATGTGCTTAAAAAAAAAAAGTAAATTAGTGTTCAAAAGAAAAACTTGATCTCCATGGAGTGTATTTCTTTCAGCAAAGACACATAACTCCCACTAAAACATTACTGTATGTGCATGCCTTGAAGGCAGAGTATGTTCTTATTGAGTAATTTAAGACGATCACTGTAATGTAGCATCTCATGTTCAAATGCTATTTCAAATGCACTGCTGCCAGAAGTAGGCACTTAGAGAAGAGAGTCTCTATATAGGCTCATTTGAGATTCCAGGGAGAATCAAAGCATAAACCAAACAAAAATAAAAAGCCAACTTATGTCTGACTCCACTTGAAATAGCTTCCACAGGTGCAAGGAGCATCTGTTTGAATCATCCTTTTCCCTTGAAATGATATTGCACCAGTGACCTCTGTTTAGAGAATTCCCAAATCAAATGACCTAGCTTGTTAGAGAGACAGTAGTAGACTTTAATAACTTTTGTTCTCAGTAAATAGCTTTATCATCTTAATCCAGAGAACATCTGGTGTCTAGGGGCTGTTTCCTTTTCTTAATTAAGCTTCTTTCTTCAACAAATGTTCTTGTTTTAGTTTTCTTCTATGGAAAAATTAGCTAGTTTTGTGGATGCCTTTCACGGTCTTAAAACCCCCAACATGCCATCACGTCATCCTTTAGTCAAGACAGATTCTAGAAGATAATCTCTGTATAAAAGAAGTTATGCTAGGGTTGATACAGAGATGACTGAAAAAACTCACACAGTGTTTCACAGGTAGGCTGGCCAGATGGTCATAATGTTTACTGCTGATTTAAAATGCTGTAAATACAGGAGCAGCCAAACAAGGACCATGTCTTGGTAGAGCCCCTGTCTGTACTGCTCTGTGCCAGTAGCTGTGCATTTGCACAATATCAGCATTCTTTAGGCTCTGAGTATCTTCCTTGCTGTGCTCTGTAGTGCACTCATTTTCATGAGAGCACAGACAAGAGCAATTAATGGTAGGATTTTTTGTTGCCTTGAGCTTTCAAGAAGACCACATCCAAGATGGTCACTTGCTAGATTCAGCAGGGAGAGTTTCTCAGGCTGTTTCTGACTATTCTCCACAGGAGCTTTGGGATGGCTTGTAGGGATATTGTGGCAAGTTTCCCATCACCTTGGTGGTGTTTTCTTAGTGATTTTGATGAGGAAAGTTGTAGCTCTCCTGCAAATTAACTGGAGGCATTTAGGGGTCTAACAGGTCAGCTACTCCCTTGGGAGTGTCCCAGTTACAGCTCTAGCTCAAGTTAAGCAGAGAACAGTGAAGCCTGGTTCTCTTTTGTTTTCTCTCCTTCTCTCCTGGCATATCCTAACAAATCTGAGTTGCTGATGCATGGGAGAGAGGCTGTCCTTACAGGATTTGTGGTTCAATGATTTCATTGCTGGAAAGCACGGGAGCAGAGCTGCCTCACAACAGCCCTAACTCATTACAGTAGCTTTCAATTTCAGATAAATTTTGGTTAAAATAAATGATCTGGAATCTAAATTTAGAAGTCAGGGTTTTCCTGTCAAGTCACTTTGTGGAAAAGGAAGCAAAGCAAATAATTACCTTAATGTCCAAGATCCCTTCAGGTACATACATGTAAACAGTAAACACAGTTATCCCTTTGAGCTGTGGGCAAAAGAGGAATGCTGCAGGTCATAAAAAGGTTCGCTAACAAAGCCAAGACAAGAAAATTATGCATCTCCCAGTCTGGATTACAACACTGACTCCATAAAAGTCCATTTTCAAAAGTTCAGAATTTGAGCTCCATCTGGGGTTCAAGCTAGCATTAAAAGGTATGCAATTATATAAGATTAGTTTACTTACCCTTTTTGGCAAATGCACCTTGCTTTATACAATATTTTATATAGCACACAATCACATGCATTTTGGGGGCAGAAAATGTTAATGTAAGTATCTATTCTCTATAAATGCATCTGTTTTTCCACTTTCGTTCCCCTCTTGTGTATTTTGTATCAGCTCAAGACAGTTTTGTTTATTAGACTGTCCATTTTACAGAGGGAAAGGAGATTCTGAACCTTGTAAGCCTTCAAACATTGATTTTACCATCAGAATGGTAATAACAATTGAAGACTTTTTGCCATTTAAAACCACTTTTTAGAACCTTCAGAGGTTTTGCTACAGAAAAGATTTTAGCTTTCAGTATTTTAAGAATTGGTTTTTGCATATATCTTCAGTTTAGTTGTTTAAATATAGCACTTCAACTGCTTCCAGGGCTGATTTGAGGATTTTTTTTTCCTTGAAGACATGTGTTTGCTTTCAACCTTTTTTTTTTTAGCAATTCTTCATATATGTAAATACTTCTTTTCTGTCTTTCAGTTTTCCTATTTGGAGAAGCTATTGTTGGTCCACGGTGCTTGGAGTTACAATCGAGTTACCAAATGCATACTGTACTGCTTCTACAAAAATGTGGTTTTGTATATTATCGAGGTAAGAGAAACTAAATGGATGGGTCTTACTAGTGCTCATTCCTTAAATCATCTCTTGTAACTAGAAAAGCTCATCCAAATGGATTGAACAAGAAGGATCACAATTTTGTTTCCATGTTTAACAATTTAAAATTCAGTTTTTCTGCTCAAATCAGTTCACTTGAATCTTTTAATGTTTGTAACGGAATACCAAAGGTTTTCAGTACTGTAAAGCTTTGGATATGAGATGTCAGAGACAAAGTTCATTCCTTCTCTGCAAACACTCTTATTGAAAGCATCTTTGTATTCATGGAAATATTTCAATTAGTGCTTATATTTATAAAAACTGGAATTTGGAGCTAAATTTAAATCAAAAGTGCATTTAATAGCATTTAATAGGTAAACAAAAAGCTATTCATAACTATAGCTGTAGCTTTCAAGTTACAAAGACCATAGATTAGCTGGAACTGAAATTAGTTTGCTTTGTTTTTAGGAAAGAGATGACATAATTTTGCAAATGATGTTCATTTACAAAATGAATTAGGTTATTTGATTTAATAATTAAAACATGAATGTGTTTTGAAAATAATTCGCTGGAAGATGTCAAGTACTGAAACTGGTTTTTAAAGAGGGCTGAATACTATTACTACCATTCCATTTCAGCATGCTTAAGACAGGAGTGTAGTTATCACACTGCAGAATATAGTCTTGAATTTAAGATGTATCAGGAAGGAGATTTTATAATATGCTTTTGCCTAGCTAGAAATACTCAAGGAACTTGAAGTCAGTGTTTTGATCAGCTGAGTATCAAGTGATCGCTTGGTACAGCAATTTCCACGGTGTTCATCAGTTGTATTAATACATGTGCATACAGATTAGATTTTCTATTTCTTTGTACAGCTGAGCAGCCATGAATGAGGTTAACAGAAAATTGCAACATTTATAATTAGGCAGGTAGTTATATCAATTAGAGGAGATAGTGGGTGAGTAATATTTTGCTATTCAGTAAGTAATATAATGATCAGTGTGGTCAGTATTCCTGACTCCAGCAGGGTTTGATCATCGTCTGTATATGATGTTATAGAACAGATATTGTCTACTAACTTGACCACTTTTCCTGTTCTGAATTAACTGTTTTCTGTTCAAATTTCAACACTCATTAGTCTACTGCAAGAGACTTATCCTGCACATCATCTTTTTGGTAAAGGTTTTTACAAGCTGTTGGAGATAATAACAATATTTGTGCAAAGAAAATATAAATAGCTTTGAAAAGAACTCTTCTGGTGTATTTCTTACTGAGCATGGCTGTCTGTTACTGGGGTTTTGCCTGAACTTTTCAGAAAATGCTTAATAGCTTCATGATCTTCTTCTAGAATTCTTTTCTCTATTTGAAAATTAGTTTTGGAAGTCCTGCTTCTAGCTTATTACAGCACCACGTGTCTTTGTTTTTCTTGCCATAGTCTGACAAATTAAGTTCTGCATCAAATGTTGTATAAAAGCTATACTTTCCCATATAAGCAGCTGTGCAAGGAGTTGAATAATAGTGAAGTTCTCTGGGACCCCCATCCTGAGGTAGACCAGTTATTTTACCCTAGGGTAGAATTTTATTCACCAGATATCTCTACATGATACATAAAATCCAGGTCTGCTCTGAGAATGAGGTCAGGAGTTCTCTTCACTGTCTTAGGCCATGTTCAGTTCTTTTTGCATGCTGTCCTGAGACAAATGAGCTTTTGTCTCCTCATGTCCATGACTGAGAAGCAATCAGTTCCATTACACCTGAGCACTGAAAAATGGCTTACAAGATGCCACTCTGCACCTCAGTTACCTCTCTGTGCTTGTGCTGCATAGAAGTTGGGAAGAAGTTTAAGGCTTTAAGGGAGATGAAGTGACAGAAATAATCCTGTTCTCCTGCAGCAATGGGAAGAGCTCAATTTGGTTTTCCCTGTTGATTTTCCTTTACTAGCAGCCTTAAGGAATCTCCCCTCCAAAACTGTGTAAAATAGCCAAATTGTATGGAAACCCAAGAGACACCAAGAGTTCTGGTATCCTAGGGATACAGGGTAGAGAGAAGAGATCTTTAATTCCCTCCTTAGCTTTACACAAAGAAAGAGAGGTTGTTTTGTGTATGTGCTGTGAGGCTTGGCAGTGTTGATCAGTTTGTGGTATGAAATGATGCTCATGAAAGAGATGCTCCATGAGGGAATAAATTCTTCAACTTGGGAGACTGGTAGTTAAATGCCTGGCACTTCTGCACTCTTGCTTATGTCTATGGTGTGTTCCTCATTGTTTCCTGGTGCTCTGGACAAGTTTAATATTTACCCATACTTTCTGCTTGCATATGTGGTGTATGGGGAATATCCTTTTAGCATTGTAATGAAACAGGGATTTGAACTTGAGCTACTTTGTAAGTATCTTCAGAAGGATTGTACTAAGTAAATATTTATACCGTTGAATGAAAAAGCACATCATGAATATGACTGCCAGTTCTACCTTTGTTTCTGTATCTGTTTTATTTCAGTGGAGTTTTAACACCTGAGGAATAGATATAGTACGCCTTATATAAATGGTTTTTGCAGCAGAGAGGCACTGGGGCTATCATAATTTTTATTCCCTGATACTTTGCAAATGCCATGGGGAAGAAAAAGGTGGTGGTCCAGTTTGGCACGCAGAACATCTGGACAGATCTTGCAGAAGCATGCAAGTTAAGGCATTAAGATTTAACTTCATTAAACAATGGTAAATGCTTGAGAAAAGCACATTTCCATCTGTTTTTCTAGCATCCTAATGTTGGTATGCTAAAACTCCTCATACATTAGAAGTTCATCTTGATACCAGTTATGTACACTTAAACCTGGCGGATTCAAAGTGTTGCATCCCTGAAACATTAAATTTACCAGCTTTTTTCAGGTTCTAGGTTGAAATATGCAATTTGGGGTATTGTGAAAACTATACTTAGATAATTGTCATCATGGGCTTTACTCCTAAGAGGTGCTGTGTGGTTAAGGCTGGTGCTTACTTTTCTGCAGTGGCTGATTCTTTATGGAGAGACAGGGGCCCAGGAACTGTTTTCAGCTGCTTTGATGAATAAAATGTGTGCCCATATTGAGATAGTTCCATGCAGCTAGAGGGGTGGTACAGCAGACTGGAGGCCTTGTGGTTTAGTGATTGCAGGGGCAACGGAGCTTGAGAGTGTATTTTCCTTCTCTCTTGAAAATGCCCTCCTAGTATTTTTCAAGAGGTGAATTTTAAGTCAACAAAAGTTTAGAGAAAACTGAAAAGATTTTGTCGTGGCTTAACAACTGGAAACTCTATGTTCCTCTTCTTTCTCTAGCCTGGTCTGTATCATTTCTTCATCATGGTCCCCCTGCCATTCTCTTGGATTCTCCCCTTAATTTTTGAAAATACAAAACTAAGTGAAGTATAATTAAAAAGCACAAAGAGAAGCAGATCCTGGAAATTCAAGTCCTTTTGGTGTGATTCTTAGCCGACTTCCTGAACCCTTGTATATCCATATATATATGTAACCCTTGTTGCCAAGGTGCTTCAGGGTATGAAGTTGAGGTTCTCTTACTTATGGACTCACCTATCAAAAGGGGTGCAGAATCTAACCTTTCCATCCATGGAGCTGGTTGGCAGATTAATTGCCGCTTCTTCCCCATCCTTGACTATCCATGCTGGGTCTGTCCTAAGAGGAGCAGGGGAATCTGCTTGGAAAACTACCAAGATGGCCGTAGAGATGAAATGCAAATATAAAGCCCTCTCTTTGGTGTCCATTCCTGTATTTCCCATATCTGCATGTACTAGCACTGTGCACTAAATCTGTTTCTAAGGAAAGCCAACCATTCAGCATCATCCTGAGGCAGAAGACCAGTGACAAGGTTTCGACTGTTAAAGATTTGACAAACAAGGAGCTGGGCATACTCAAAAAATACCATTTCGTTCAATTACTTACGTAGCTGGCTTCAAACTGAGTAGTCAAACAGAAGATGTGTTTCACATCTCTTGAGCAGATATGTTTAACTGGAGATGATATAAAGTTGTCCTGTTGACATCAGAGCTTTGAAATATAGCTGATTTCAAATGTAAAAGAATACAGGAATGTTGCTTTCATGTCATGCTTGGAGAAGTAGAAACGCAGCAAGATCAAAGGTGGTATCAGCAATATCAGGTAAGAGTTCAAGGCCTTTGGGAATGGTTCTGTGGAAACAGTAGCATGGAAGATAGCTTTCAGGCCAACTCAGTGTGCAGGAAAAATGTGCTCAGTTCTTCACTGGAACATGTGGGTTTTTTGAAACATACTTAGTATGAAGCACTTTTGTATTATATATTGCAGAATGAGTCAGAGGTGGGAGTAGATGGCCCCTGTGTCAAGTCTGGCAGTGTAGGGCCATGACAGAGAAATGAATGGCAAGTGGGAAGGGGAGAGCATAATGTACATACCTTGGTTGCTGCATAATTTTAATTTCTGCTTTAAGAATCCAAAGATAAATTGTAAACCTAGATTAGAAAGCTGTTTCTTTGTAGCTCCTGAAAGTTAAGTCTAATATCTGAGTGGTGTTAAACAAACAAGATAAACATACTGAACAACAAACTACTAAGATCATAATTTTTTTCCAGAGCTGAATTTCCAAGTTTCAAAAGCTCTGAGCAAACACAATACCTAGATAAACGTGCTTTTAAACAAGAGGTGATTTTGTGAGTCAGCAAGGTCTAGCAATGAGAGCTGTTAAGTGCGCTCTTAGTGGTCACCACTTCAGACAAGCTGATAGCTCAGGCTGCCAAAGCACACATGAAGTGTTGCTGCATGAGACCTTGCATTTGTTTTTCCTGTTTTCTTGCTTTTCCATCAAACACAACAGGTATTTTAAAAAATATGGAAAGCAGGGATGGGAATTTCAACTCTTTTCTCCAAATGGTAGGCAGAAATGAGTGTATCTGTTATGGTACTAAAAATACACAGCTACAGTGCTTCTGTGTGCTTATCCCTGATTTATATGATCTGACTTTTACCTACATCTC